GGAGGTGGGGGGGTGGTTGGGTGGTGTGGGGGGGGGGGGGGGTGGTTGGTGTGTGGGTTGTGGGTGGGGGGGGGGTGTGGGGGGGGGGGGGGGTGGGGGTGTGGGTGTGGGTGTGGGTGTGGGTGTGAGTGTGTGAGTGTGTGGGTGTTGTTCTTTTCTTCAGACAATACCGACACGCACATCCACACCCACACTCACCCACCAACACCCACACTCACACCCACCCACACCCCACACCCACCCACACCCACACCCACACCCACCCTTGTCGAAGTATAAATGCTTTCCTTCGAAATTATGGCCAGAAATAAGACTGAAAACAGCACGTTCTCCTAGTAGTGTTTCCTGCTCACCGGTGTTTTCTTTTCCTACGTAGATTTTACAGTTGAATAAGTAACCAGTAATTGAGTCTCATAAACACCAGAGTTTGTAGCCTCTTTTTATTGGTTTTGCAGGTATGTACTACTTGAGGGTTGATCTGCCTTTGAAATTTACCATAGTTTCATCGATGGAACCATAGCGTCCAAAGTTATAATTGTTTTGAAAATTTTCCAGTAAAATTTCCGTGAAATTCTTAACCTTGTAAATTCTACTGTAATCCTTAGATTCTCGTTTTGGTTCCAATGAGTTATCGGCCAAATGTAAATTATAATATATTTGAAGAAAGCGATCTCTTGACATAACCGAAGAGATAAAATTATTACGAAAAATAATATCTTTACTCCAATTAAGTCTCATCTTAGGCAAGTCATTGATTCCCATTAGAATAATTATTCCAAGAAAGGATTCAATATCTTTCTTACTTATATCCTTCCAGCTATTGACTTTTGTCAGACTTTCCCTACATTTTTTGTCTTTTCCATACATATTTGTTTGATCAGTAATTAGTTTTAAAATTTCTTCGGTGAGAAAATTTCTGAAAACTGAAATTGAAGTTATTTCTTTGAGAGAAATTGAGGTAAAGCCGCCATCAGTGACATGACTTTCATTGATAGAATTCATCTCTTCTTCATTTACATCTGAATCTTCTTCTGAAACTCGAAGTCTGTCTAGATCGTCTATTAAATCATTATAATCAAAATCTGAGTCGCTCTTGGTGTTGTCTTCACTGATAGATGAATCAGAGGACTCGTCATAGGCTTCGTTATTTTCATAGACTTCCATTTGTTTAGTTTTAATTATAACCAAAATAGAAAGAAGCCAAATATACAAGTCGTTTTTATTCCCTTTGAGCGAAAAAAATAACAAAGTATATTGAATAAACCATAAAAATAGTGAAAGAAAACGATAATTATATTGCACTACCAAGAACAATGTAATTGGGGGGGGGTGTGGGGTGTCGGCGCGAGCATGGATCTGGATGAAGTGAAGAGGCCCTTACCCACACCCACACCCTTTTTTATCCTAGCAATGATTGTTTTTGATATCACAATGGTAGAATGACATAAAATATGCAAGACAGCATTTTCTTTGTTTGTCTTTTAGGAGTCGGCTGGAAATGGTTAAATTGACAAGTCTATGTACTAGAATATTGCTTATTTACAAATTAAGAGAATGCATATTTTGTTCTACATTCGAAATCCATTCATTTTCTTCTATGATCTTTGGATGGTCCGCTGGAAGTTTTGCCAGTTTAATTTTGTGTGACTTTTTTGCATATTCTAACGCCTGCTCAATGTGACCATGTTCATGTAGTGCTATCGCAATACTTTGATAGGTTCTACCTAATAGTGGATGGTCTGAAGGAAGAGAATTTTGCTGAATCTCTAATGCTTTTTTCCAATATTCAGATGCTTTATCGCTCTTTCCTTGTGAGTAGTAAACTTGTGCAATATTATTATAGACAGTTGCGATCATTGGGTGGGTACTAGGAAGTATTGATAGTCGAATTTCGAGCGATTTTTCATACATTAACAGAGCATCCTCATAACGTTCCAATTCTTTGCAGATAGTTGCAATGTTATTATAGCAGGTTGAAAGTGAAATCTGATTCGAGTCCGGTTTATTACGGTAAATTCTTGCCGCATTCCTATACATAACCGCTGCCACCTCATATTCTTGTTGTGCAAAGTAAATACCTCCTAAATTGCTATATGTAATGGCAAGTGATGGATTAATGTGAGCATTCGTTAAATATTTTATCTTCAAATCAATAGATGTTTGAAAGCATTTTACAGCTTCATCCATTTGTTTCATTAGTTTGTAATTAAGGCCTAGATCATTATACACAGCAGCTATACATCCAGCATCTTGAGTGACTACAGAATCGTTAAGTGACAACAGATAGAACTGCTCAGCTTTCATATAACGTGCTGTTGCACCCATCAGTTTTGCCAAACTTATCAAAGGAATAGGTTGAACTATATCAGCTTTCATGTGCACAGTTAATTTATGCAGATCTTCATCTTCCTCACCAGTTAGTTTTAAAGTCACATTCAAAAGACTATTGTCCGTCTCGTTGACTGATACAATCCGAAAAACAGCACCCATTGTAAATAAGATTTCACCCTCATCATCACCAAAAGCACTTTTTCCTGATATATTTGCATAGGGAAATTTGTTTACAGTTTTATCAATTTCAATTTTAAATAGAATATGTTTCGTACCCTCTTTTACATCACTTGTATTATCATTACTAGTATTACCGCCAATAAAGAATTCAGCTAATTCCTTTGTTGCTGTTGTTGATAGGAATGTCTTAACAGATAAAAAAACCACCAATATTCAAACGGATTTTTTGTTCAAATTCATCACTACTCATTAATTGTCCTCTGTATACGGTCTCAGTATATTGATCTTCAGTATTGTCTGCCTTAGTTATTGATGAAGTATACAATTCCATTAGCTGTTCATGTAAATGTTTAATAAAGTATCTTAATGCGTAAAGTGTATCAATGTCTTGTTCTCTGAGCGCCGTGTTTAAAAGACGATAGAGAAATGTATCACGTGTGTACCAAAATATAGCATTGCATGGATCATAATACTCCTTGAATTCTTCGATATATGCTAACTGTTTCTTATTAGCTGCATACTTTTGACGACAATAATGAATCATTTCATCTTCAGTGGAATCAATGTCAATCAAGATACCTCTCAAAAGTTCTGCATACATAAAATCAGCTTCTTGACGCGTTGTATTTTCTTGAGAAATTGATGATGATGATGCACTGGCATCTAAGCTAGGTAATGAGTTGAAAATAAAATCTTCGGATTTCAAGCGACTTTTCCACAAAGACTTTTGTTGCTGTTCTATTTGGTCATCTGATGCCGTTTCTGATTCTTCGGCAGTCGTTGCGGGAAACACATCGAAACCGGTATGAAAACCACGAATTTTTGTACCTTCAGGTAAGTGTATCAAATTTTTAGTTGTGTTAAAAGAAAATAAATACATGGAATCAACTTCAACTAAATCTTCCATCAATTGTACGAATGCTGATTTTACTATATCTTCTAGCGATAAAGGAGTCAAAATAATAAGCAATATTTTAGTTGTTTTATTTTCTTGTTGACTAATTTCATGTATTTGATCAATACATTCATGTCTATCATGTGATATCGTAATACCGCCAATGTTGTTTGCAATATTATTTATAAAACTACTGAATCCTGAGTGAACATAATCGTCTGCAATCAATTGTGTTTCATTCAACCAAATAATATGTAATCGATTTTGTGTATTCATTATCTATTTTTCCTTAATTAAAATTATTTTCTTTGATTTTTGCATGTAAAAATACATTATTACCTTTAAAATGCATAAATATGTCGCGCTCTTTTTTTTTCTTTTCTTCAATTGCAGTTTTCAAGTACTTTTTTTAAATAATATCTTTGAGCAAAGCAATCGAAGCAGAAGTTGCGTGAGAAAAGGGCACTTAAACAGAATGATAAAGCAAGATAAATACTGTAACCAAACGGCCAAAAACATTTTTACTTTCTTTTTCTTTTCTACGCTTGAAAATAACAGCCGAAATTGTTAAAAAAAATGCAGCACTGGTTACTATCGAGAAAAAAATGCGGGGATGCGTGAGATTTTTTTCCTCTCACACCCACACTCTTTTTCATCTCATTAGAATAGATTTTTAATATGCTGATTTGTATGCATTCTAGTAGGTTTCCCTCTTTTAAGCGATACACTAAAATATGCATTACACTTTTACACTTCTTTTCCCTTTTGGGAATTGTTTAGAAAGTCATACATGTCAATATAAATATCTCATTTAAGTATTATCATATACTAGTTGTATATTATGAAGCATTTGATTTTTTCTGAATTATCTAATCGATACAATTCAAGTTGATTATATTATTTGTCGTTGAAAATATCTACTAATTTTCTAATAGGCTGATTTATTATTTGTAAGTTATAATATATCGTTTATGATCTAATATCCGTTTTGTCGTTCTCATACGTTACTCATCATTACCTTCGAGTTTTTAATTGATATTAGATAAATATTCAAATTCCAATGGATATCAATTGAATGTTTTCGTTCTAATTGTATTTATTACTTAAGGTTATTATAGCTGATTTCTTTGTTTTTTGATAATTGACAAAGAACCGAAAAATACAGACTTTCCAATACACTACTTAATTAATTAGACATGAGTAACATATAAGAAAAAAACAAGAACTTCATTCACTCTTCCAATAAATAGTAGTGATCAGAATTTGAGTCACGTGCATATTTCACTAATAAATCTGATTTTAAGAAGAACTTCTCAATAATTTATTGGATACTTATTCAAGATCTACGCCCATGAAAACAAATCAAAATCAACTATGACACCAATAGAGATCTGTGGTACATCGTAGAAATAGAAATTTTTTTTCTCAGGTATATTCCAGTTTTGAGAAATTTAAATGTTACTCATAATTAATACATCAAATGACACACTAAATTTTTGTATTAATTATTGAAAAACAGAATTAATTTACAATAGTCTAAAACAATAACGAAATACATTTAATAGATCTATTGATATTTCTTCGATATTTGATGAATTAAACATACATATTCAGACGATTCGATAGAATTGAATAAGAATACATAATAAAAGTTTACAATTAATTTATTAGTTGAGTTTTAGATGTATATTTAATCATATATGATCTTAACATAATTAATTTTTATATAGTTTAATAATAACGAAAATCTTTTTAAGAGAATTTAATAATTTATTTATTTATAAAAATACGAATACAACAATATATATGTATAGATTGTTAATTGTAGAAAAAAAATATCAATCTACGACTAATAAGTGTCTAAATTTTTCTTTTTTTGAAAAGTCAATCAACCAAAACAAAATTATGTTTCAACTTTTCTTCTAAATGATTCTTTCTATTATAGAACATTCAGAAAAAAACAAAAAAAAATATAATTTTTCAATACAAATAAAATAAACATATATTTTTATTTCATTAAATATTTTACATTCCTCTTTTGCTTTCTCAAGTTATTTATGACTCATTCTTTGAATAAAGAAACAAATAAGCGTGATTTATATCTCTTGCTATTTTGATGATATATATTCGCGAAGTTTTCAGCGTTTTTCTTTTTTTTTCTCATCTGTGCTCAACAGACATGCATGGTACATAATCAAAACTTTATATGTTATAATATCTATGATGAAATCTGTACATCATTGTTAGTTTTTTTTTGAAAAAATAGAAGAA